CCCTGTATGGGTGTGTGGACAACACCCCCTCAAATCATTTTAAATTTTGTATCAGGTGAGGGCTATAGCCCCTCACATTTTGGCAATAATTGCACTACTGATTTATCATATAATTATAAATGATAGACAAAAACAGTTGGTTGTAGAATCTTTAAATTTATTATGGTTTATCTATTACTATCTGTTGAATAATAATTTACCTATAGCTTTAAGTCCATAATCTATAAGCTATATTAAAATTAAAATACATATCAAGTAGAACCAGAACAAAATGTATTTGTGAAGTTGTATTGAATTCTAATGTATCAGTTGAAATCCAAGAAGTCATAACTATTTAGTATTAATTGCATTTATTTGACTGAGTCTAATTTACCTAGACTGTATTATTTGAATAGACAAGATTATAGTTTTCATGCAGCATAAAATTAATAATATTAAGTATAGAGGGTGTCCCGTAAGGATATACTCATTAGCTGTAAAGGGGGACTCGCCACCAAAATAAAAATCAGTTTTTCGATTTTTCATCTATAAACTAAAAAAATTATTAAAAAATTATGTGATAAATGAAAATAAAATGTTTAAAAGTCAACATTTTCAGCAAAATAAACTATAAAATAGGTATATTTTTTTTTTCAAAAATTAAAAATATTTTTTTTACTTTTTACCAAAAAATAAAATAAATGCAGGCCTTGCAGTCTAATAAAAAAAAAAAAACAGATTTATGATATTTTTATTATCTCAGGAGATATTACAATGGGTAAAATCTCACAGGACACTCTGTATAGGAATTTTACAATCTTTACCTACCTTATAGCGGCACATTAAGTAAACRTGATACATAATAGACATATAAGGTATAAAAACATAGTTAATATTAATATTAATAAACAGTTTACAATAAATTACATAATACATGAGGAAAACAGCCACTTATTAGTGACACTTTCACTTGTTTTAATATATGTACACATATACATTTTTTTCTTGATTATACTTATTTATTTAGAATGTGATCAATATAACAAGCAAGTCACAACAACATTTACGTTTTAACCTTGGAGGATTACTGGATATTGTTAGGGTAGAAATTCCTAGCAAGTGGATTATGGGGTGAGATAATAAGCGAAAATGGAAACATTTGTAATAAATGTTTGCTTTGTTTTGCACTAGAGACATCTTTAGATCTGAATGAATAGTATGATTAGATATGTAGGGTTTAAAAATGTAATAATTTTTGAAGTGCAATATTTTGCAAGGTTTGTATTTTGATTAAAGTTTTTAGCTTTTCCCTATAGTTGAATTCCATAATTTGTTCACATGGGTTTAAGTAAGGATTTATAAGGAGATTAGTACTAGTGTGTGTATATTTGTAATTATAAATGGCTCTGTATAGGTAGTTCTTAATTTTTAGATTTTTTATAAAACAGTTGTAATTAGAACCAGATAAAAATATTAGGCTTAATTAGGTATATTATCAAGTAATCTACAATGCTCATAATAACCAAATATTGTATGAATAAGATTTAATATTATTTATTTTCAAATGTATTAATACTTAGCAAATACATATTTAAGAGTACAACACTCTATTCTAATTAGTTATGTATTTCAAATAGTTGTCTTTAGGACATTTAGATAAGTAGAGGACTAAGTTCCTCTACCCTGTGCTACTCCACAAAGCTCAACAAAATTGTAAATACTTCTAGTAGAGTACAAATAGTCATACTAAAAACTAAGTTTAGAATATATTTTTTTTAGTTATACACATTCAGGGCTGGGCCGATCAAAAGCGGCGCTCCTGGCAAAATAAAAATTTCCGCCCCCTCCCTAGATTTTCAGATTTAATTATATCAAATTATGCGCCTCCATTCCTACTTCATATTTTACGCCCCTGGCAGGCGCCCACCTTAATCATTAAAGATAAAGTTAGAAATCTGTTTGGTATTATATAAAAGTTAAATTTTATTTTGCACATTTTTTCATAAAATTTCTTATATTATTTTAATTTTTCTTAAACTTTTATTTTATGTATTTATACATTTATTTTTATTACTAAGAAAATTTGAAAACAATGATATTAAATAAATTAATGGATTTAGCATGTTACTCATTTGAAAAAGGAACAAATGTGAATCATGTATTTTTAATATGTATCTTATAATATTGGTAACTCTAATGTGAGTTTACCTTTTCACTATCCCATCACAGTCATCCCTCTCACAAATTCACTCATATAGGATAGAATATAATTGCTCAACTCTTTTAGTGTCACAAACCCCAAATTAGGTATAAAATATGGTACTCGCCTATCTATATTAAGCACAAATTTAAACAGTAAAAATATCATATCATTTATCAAACAAAATATATCATTTTTGATATATATAATTGTTGACCTACATGACCCCTTGGTTAAGGTAATCACGACCCGCCTGGTAGTCACAACCTCCAGGTTGAGAAACGCTAGTATAGATTGTAAATTTCCTTTAACATTATTTTATAAAAAAAAGTTTTAATAACATATCTTGTAACATAATTAACAGTGTTGATAGATACTAATCCATTTCTTAAAAACAATTTAAAAAAAAAAAGTTTAAGGCATATAATATATATAATATATGCATATTATGCATGAATTTTTTAGTTTAAAGTTTCTAAATATTTTAACTTAATACGTATATGACTTACTAAAAGCTTGTTTGAAACTATATTTTTCTATCAAAACTTCCAATATTTTGCTTCAAAATATTGGATAAATAATGTATGTTGTCGTCCAACAAAAATCAAATTATATTATTTTGTTTATGTTTTTCTTAGATCAAAATTATTAAGCTAAAATGTTAGTTTTTGAAATAATCGGGTTAAAGAAAAAATTAATGCAGCGCAACGCATTTTTATAATTTGATTGCCATAAAATATTATTTAGCACCATTATTTTAAAATAATTTAAAACTATATATCAGTATCCATGAGTATGTTTACATATGCACATTTTGTTTAATATTATATATAACTAAATTCACTTACCTTTCAGAACTTGATGATGATGATCCTGAATTATTTTCATTATTTTGATCAGAATCTGAAGATTCTTCTTCTGACACATTCTGCAATTTAAATCTCATGCTATAGATAGAGGGCAACATATGGTACTGGCTACCAAGTCATAAAACCAACTGTTCATCATTGTTCATAATTTAAATAATCATACATTCAACATTTATCGTTACTGTACAAAACTCTTATTTCTTTTTTTCATTAAATTCCATATAATTCATATTTTCAACTATCTGTGTTTAAGCATTGTACTAAGCCTAATCTAGGTGAGCTTGTAACTATTTTTATTTTATATAAATTTATTTACTTTATCAAAATTAACATGAATATTAATAAGATTAAGATTATTATTTATTTTTCTAAGGACATTATTAGTTACTTTTCAATTTACCAATACATTACTAAGCATTACCGATAATACTGATTATTTATTCTACATGAATAATTATTTAGTCTTTAGAAAAAAAAAAACTTCAAACTATTTATATATTATTTGAAAATGATGGAATAAATCAAAGCTAATAGGTACGTAATCATATGTGTATATACAAATGTTATGTTGAATTATCTAAAAGTACTATTAACCTATATTATTATTATTATTATTATTATCATTCAAGAGATGAAAAATTGTACAGAACCATTCTTGATACACTATATTAAATGTGTATCTAAGTTACAGATTAGTTAATTAGAATAAATACCTTTATGAAATATGGATTGTACATTATCTTTCAACTTTAATTCAAAATAGATAGAACAACATCTTCTAGATAAATGAATAGATAAAAAAATTAAATTATTAACATAATAAAGATATAGGAGAAAATTAGGAAATATAGAACACTCACCTTAATGAAAATCAAGAATATAATATAAATGTGTGCGTTACTAACAGTAACTCAACTATCTTCACTTATTCAAATAAATTGAAATTAAATATAACTACTGTAATCAATTATTGGAATAGTTAATAAATTGTATACTGATTGATTATAAAGTAAATAACAAATAGTTATCATAGATACTAGATGGTAAAAATGTTGTATTCAAAGACTACAATAATTCTAAATTCTAACCAACTACCTACCTTGACAGTAGTTAAAATACATTATGAAATAAATATTATAACATTTAATTTTATATCTACAAGAAATTGGCTTGTTTTTTCACAAATACCAATTCAAAAAACATAAATAAACTATAAGCAAAATATCAAATTTAATATTTAGGTCTGTTTGAATTTTTAAATAAAATATAATGTATAAAAACATGCATTAGAGAATTAAAATTGTAATGCGAATAAAGTATACATAAGTTGTATAATTATTATGTTCAATTAACATCCAGCATACACATGGAATAATACTGATGAGTGATGACCATTCTAACAATGAAATATTCATTTAACAAAAATGTAAAACAATGAATAGAAATAAAATAAATAACTACAAAATAATTATAAATTTAAATTAAGAATTTAAACATAAAATGTAAGATGAATAGGTATGTAAAAATATTATAATCCTATTCGTGAGAAGTTTAGCTTATAAATGACATAGAATATATATAGTATCTAATAGATAACTAAAATGTTCTTTAAATAATATTAAAAACCAGGTATGTATAATTTATATTGACTAATTTTAATATATGTACTTAAATTATAGATATAACATTTAGGAAGTGCCTATTAAAATGTATTTATAGGTACATAATACCTATTAAATAAATATTATAGATATTATGTAGAAAATTTTATATTAGTTATTTACCCATGATATATAACACTTGGGCTAAGTAAAAATGAAGTATTATTATAATACTTATATGTGAGCATAAAAATAAAAAGTAAAATAAAGTAAGCACATCATCACTTTAAGCATAGTTAAGACAATACCAAGAATAGAGTACACTAACAGTGAAATATAGTATTATTTATGATATATTATTATGTTGACCATTGTTCTATGTGCACATCCTAACTTTAACTTAAAATTTTGAAAATGGGTCCGATTTAAATTCCTATGTTTTATATGTTTTGGACTTCGTTAACTCATGGACAATTCATTATTAAATAGAATTTAGCTGTCCAACGATTTTATCTACCCCTAAAGTGCATTAAGCACTGAAGGGTGCTCTGACCAATGATCAATAACGAGTAACATGTTTTAATGAAAACATGTTTAAATGATTATGATGATTAGACGCATAACATCTGTCACTCCCTCATAACCATATTTAAATAATAAAATAGTTATTTAAAAAACTAAAACTATTTTGCATGAAACGTATAATTAATTAAAGGGTAGTTTGCTGTAGAGAAAAAACCATAAGTACCCAATAAATGTATTAAAATACAATGAAGACTAATGATTTGAACAACGATGAACTCAGTAGGCAAATAGCTAATAATGTTAAGCCAAAGGAAAATATTCAACATTCAGCGCAAATTATTTAAAAAATAATAGTGGATAGTGAAAAGAGAAGACTGCTTCTTACCTGATGCATTTTGGGTGGCTAAAACAATCTTGTGAATTTTAGGGCCGCAGTTCAAAACGTAAAACCGAAGAGAAAAAATCATATAAGGGTCACAAGACAATATTAATAGTAAAAACCGAATGTTTGAAGAATGAAAAATTACAGGAAAAAACGTCGCTTCACATAAATACGGTCAGTGATGGGCAGTCAAGGTGAGGAGGTGAAGTGGCACGGCCAATATTGTGTGCGTTTCGCGTATGGCCACAATTATCGAGAGTATTTAACATGAAAATTGACAACATTCGGTAATCAAATAGACATTTAAATTTGATTTCGATCAACGAAAATAAAAGGGACACCGATATATGTTAAGGTAAGAACGTGTACGAGTGTGCGGAAAACGGTACGAGACAAACAATAAGCGGCCATTTTGTGTGCAGTGAGATTACATGRAGTGGTAGTGGTAGCCCCGCGCAACCGCCCACCATAAACAGATATCCCCGCTACAACGCACGGTAAAAGTAACCAAGAATGACGTCGACAACACTGAATGCTTGGAAATGAAAATTGACTAAATAACGAAATACCTAACTGCAATACTTCCCAAATTAAAAATATTGTAGACTATTGACATAATATACTGAATGATCTACATTAATACATTGAAATATACATCGGGAAAATTGGATATTTTTTTTTTTTTTTATAGATGCAAATTTAATAGCATGGATTATCTACCACTGTACATAAAATTTTTTATGCCATGAAATTCGGTATGGTAGAACATTTATGGTTAACACAATTTATATTTTTGCGCAGCATACCACACGGTTTTTCCCCACTTAAGTCATATCACTTATAACAAAGCAACTGAAAGCCAAATGATGGTTATTATTATAAAACGTAATTTTTTTTGTAAGGAAAAAATAAGTAACTCAACTTAATAAAAAGAAACAAAAAGTTTTAAAATAACAAATAATTATAATATTAAAAATATTCAGTAAGAACATTACATTAACACAAACTTTATCTATATATTTAACATTGGTAGTTTGTATTTTCATATACAAAAAATTTAAAAAAAGATAATAAGAAACATTAAATTGTTAACTTAATAATTGTAAGGAGACAAATAATAAATAAGTAACTATTAAATTAAAGAGTTGAATGAAGTTTAAGGATTCTCAAATTTCATAAAAAATTATTTTAGTTCAAAAATACTTATTTTTGTGAAAAATTATTTATATTTTATAGTATTAATTGTTTTACTCCAGACTAATAGATCTTTCAATATCACAAAAAATTAATATTTTTGAATATTTAATTAAAAAAATCATATTAAATAATTTTAAAATGTGTAATATTTATTAACTTTTTACATTTTTACAATTACAAAAAATGATTAATTAATTACAGACTTACTTCAACTTGGAACATGGTATAACTATAATTTTCGTTGTTTTCTTGATCTTAATGGATTCCATGATATTGGAGTATCATCAGTGACAGATATAATTTTAAGACCACCCATAGTAAGACCTTTTATTGAGGACTAAAACAGAATCAATGTTATACAAATTAGAAAATATGTACTAAATAAATAAAAAATACTACCAAATATCGTATAGTTGAAATTTTTCTAACACAAGAGAAATACTACAAGATAAATTAGATATACAAATTTAACATCACTATTAAAATAATTGGTAGCATACACACTATTATTGTTACTTGTAACTGTAAAACAAAAATAGTAAGTTAAAATTACCACAGCAAATACTTTCTTGTAAAAGAGTGTTTAAAAAAAGGATTGTGTCAAGGATTTTAGTTAATATAATATACTGTGAAATAAAATTTAATATTAAATAATGAAGAAAGAATTGTAATAATTTTTACCATTCTCCCAGGTCCTAAACCTCGAATTGTAACACGAACTGTATGAATTCCAAAATCTAGTGCTCTCTGAAAAAAAAAAAACAGATTGTTTCAACTAAAATGGAATATTTAACCCAAAAATTTATCACATCATAATATTAAATTATAAAATAAAATCTATAAAAATATTTGACATTTAAATTATTTCATAAAAATATGATTTCATATTAATAAATCATAGAAAATAATTTATTTTTTCATTTCCTTGTCTGTACATATAAACATTCAAGACTTAAGTGAGTTTAAATGTAATTCAAATGTTTTAATAACTAATGTGTTGTCATTCTCTATGGCATTCCCAAGGTGAAAGGGGAGGGGGTAGTGATTTTAGCCCACAACCCCCATTGTCGGATAAATCTCTTTATTTGTCTCTAGAGTATTTTCACCATAATTAATTTATATGTATTATTAGTTATAACACCCTCCCTTTTCATTGTTAATTTTAAAACTAGTTTTAAAAAATATGCTATATTATTACAGCCAATAGAATGCCAGAATTAAAGGGAGGTAAGAAAACACAACAGCAGAACCTATTCACCATGTTTCAGAGAACATTTTTAATGCAAAGGAATATCAAAAAATTAAATAAAAAAATGTTAGTATTGAAAAAATTGGTTAAAGATAAATTATAAATAAAGTTATATTTGTAATAAATATTATACAATTTATAAATTAGAAAAAATAGAAATTGTAAACTAATTTATTTTGATAAATTTTCGTTATTATAAATTTTTTTTTTAAATATATTCTTAAAAAGTTATCTGAAATTCCCCAATAGTATGAATTATATGTTTTTAGTTGGTGTTTTGTGACAAATAGACTCTTTAATCAATCTTTAGGCATTTAAGTAAAGAAGTTGCAAGTCATACATTTCCTGACAGTTATCATGAATTATCAGTGGGTAGCCTGTAGGTAACCATTCTTTATGTGGATATTACAAAAAATAAAATTGGCTTTTTATATATTTATTTCTTCCCATAGTGATGGCAAACACAGTTTGAGTGAATCTACTTGTCTTATAAAGATTAGATCTGTTTTTGTTTTATGGCTGGTTTTATATAGAATGTATTTATAAATCCATGTGTTGTATACATTTTTTATGCTAACCGCTAAGAATTTATGTATGATTGGTTTTGTTAAAACACATGATTATAATTCCAATTAAACCATCAGGAATTTACATTAGTATTCCCTCCCTCCACACACCTAGATTAGAAATTGTTTGGAATTCTGATTTGGTAAAATTTTTATTTAATTTAGGTTGATTAGGCTTCTAAATACTATTACTCTATCATGATCTAATATATAACATGACCAAATAGACATTCCATTATATTAATTAGTATAGTTTATTTAGAATAGGAACAATTAAAATAGTTTATTTTTATTTTATTCAAGCGGTTAATTTACAAAATGATACAACTTAATGAACTTTATGTTGTTAGTTCTATTGAATAGGAAAATGTTGAATAATGCTGCTAAACAATATAACTGTCAATATATTTTTAGAAAATATTAAATACTTACTGTAGCCAAACCAATTGCTGTAGCTTGGGCAGCAATATTAGTTCCTTTTCTAGTATTTTTGAATCCTTCCATACCACAAGACCTGATTATTATCCTTTCACCTAAAAAACCAATGTTTCAATATAAATTTTAATTTAACATAAACACAACAATTAAAAAATGCTGATATTATCTAATGTATATATAAAATGTATACATATATGTATTAACAATTACCTAATTTAATTAAAACATATTTTATTGTATTAATATCAAAATTCTATTAATATTTTTATCTTAAATTCATATAAATAACTAAACATAGTTTTTAATTATTAGTCAAGTTAACATTCATTAATCACAGTTAACATTTTTATTTATACTCTGTCTACATATGAGTGTGCAGAATAGCCAGAATACATAACTAGTAGTTTTCTAAATCAATTATACCACCTACTAGTGATTCAACCAATAAGAGAATAATCTTAACAGTCCCACAGTTGAATATATGAGATAATTATATTCTCTAGTTAGAATAAAACATGCAGTAGGTGTAGTAAACTAATTTATTCAAACACAATAATAGAGTCCCTTGGTGTTTAATTCCGAAATTAAGTAGTGGTATAAATTTAGTGAATCAAGAGCGAGTCTGACATCAATAATACTACTAATTGACAATTCAAATCTTTATAATGTAACATGTGTGAAGTCAAAACTTTTAAACTTTTATATTATGACCTAAATGATGGCACATCAATATTGACTTATAAATTTACAACAGCAAGTAATTTGTGTTGAGCTATAATAGTAAAACTGAAAACTATTAAAAGAAGAAAAAAACAGCTAGTAATATTAAGTATATGAAATATTATTATTATTATATAAACCTATCTATAAATCTACTTGTTTTTAGCAAAAAATAGTTCAAATGTAGGCACAACTCATAGAAAAAGAAATATTCTAAGAAATATAGACAGTATCCATTCAGAATTTTATATCATTTAATTGTATTTTAACCCTTCGTCCCTTTTATTACAATGACCTAATTAATGACAAAGTGCATTCAATACCTACAAGAAAGCAAAACTTCATTACATTAAATTTATAAATTGTTATGTGATGTTGTCTAATAAAATTAATACTCCGTGAAAATTAATAACTCACTGATGCTAAAATTTAATAAAATAGGAAAGAATAATTAATTTCACAGTTGATACCTATAATGTTGAATTATTATATAGGTATTATCTCAATTATTTAATTTTAAAATAATAAATACCAAATAAATTATTAATTTAAATGAATGAGAAATTATTTTTAATAAAAATTTAAAATACAATAATCATAAACAATTGAAACAGATGTAGGTAATTAGTGTAAACAGTAAATTTATTCTTAGATATTTGTCATTAAATAATATCTTGTTTTATTTAAGTACAAGATTATGTAATTTGTAGAATGGTTAAATAATAACATATTAATTACATTATGTCAAATGTTTACACTTAGACAAATTAATAAAAGAAAATATTTCAAAAACTCTGTGACTTACCATTAACCTTAGTGACATGAAGTATTGTATTGTTCCTGGATGATTTAATATGACAAATAGGTACATCTGAGAATTTAACTCCACCAAAAAGCATATTGGGCGTATTTATGTCAGGAAACATATCTTCTTTCCTCAAAAAAATAAAACTCCAAAGTAAGTACAGAACACAGACCCATTAAATAATAACAAAATGTTCAATTTTGTTGTTCACACACAACGAAATGAAGACAAACAAAAATGGCGTCCACCCATTCATTATGCGTAGGAAAAAAAATGTGCGTATCATGCAACGCCAAATAGATGAATCAATGGAAAAAAAAACTCACTTGGTGATTGAGGAATCGATAAAGACGAATTTCTCGCCTTCGGTTCCTTCGTCCTTACGAGGAACCGAGGCCAAGAAACTCCGACGGTCCCTGTTTTTTTCCAATGGCACTGCTACGTGTATCAAACGGTTTACATTTTGTCCGCACGGAACGGCGGTCGCTTGTCGACACAAGTCACGTAAGACCCGTAGAAACATCGTTTAACAACGGTACACGTACGTATGCAAGAAATTCGATTTTTGTACTTAATTTTTTTTTGCGCCGACCAACAAGGCAACGATTACAAACGGCAAAATGGCGAATAAGTAATAACCTAATACGATGTAAAGGAATCAAATGGCTACGTAGAAGGTAAAAGTACCGTCTGTCTAATGTCTAGACCTCGAGACAGTGTCTACTTGTACTGTAGAAGTAGAAATGTAGAATACGCCGCGGTCGTCGTCGTCGTTTTCACCGTTCACACCATTTCCGAGGCGGCGTGGCCAACGAGCAACGAATCACGATTCACGAATCGCGGATTGCGATCATGAGTATACACGAATACACGATACGAAAATAGTACGATACGGATTACAGAATAACTTTCAACCATGGACATATAATATACTGTTATTATTACGGCTTTCAACACTGTAACGCCAAATCATGATTGCCAACCAATGTGCTGACATGGTAACAAGACAGCCTGTGGTGTATAATGTCACATCGCGGGAAAAACAAACCATAGTAGACAATTTTATTATGGACCACGCCGAACGCTGATGCCGAAGATCATCTTAGACCGTGGACATGACTAACATATTACAAATAAAATTATTGATGCATTAAGTATATTATGAAAATAATAAAAGATAGGATCATTACTTCTTTCACAAATATAGTTGTTCTGATATCAATTTGTACAATTGTACTATTACTACTATTAGTACTATATTGTATTCATTGTTCAAAAAATGGGATCATACTAATTACCGTGAAATAAATAGTTTTGGTGTAGGATTTATTTTGTACCAAACGCACTAGATATCAATAATAGTTCTTAATGTTCCAATGCTTATTTACTTCATTTATTCATGTCTATCTACATGAAAGTTACTTCCAGGCACGTCGCCAAGGGAGGGCCTTAGGGGGCCTGGCCCGCTAAGAACTGGCCACCTTTATTTTTATTTTTAAATATTATGGTGTATAATATAATATTGTCCCAAGCCGGTTAAATCCTAATTGTAATTTTTGTAATCGTATTTGTAAGATGTATATTGTATAATGTATACCTATATTAATAAATAACAAAAATATAATGCTTAACTAATACAGACAATACATTGTGAAATGTAGTATTATTTTTTATAGATATTGTTTGATAAGGAGAGGCGTGGTATTGGGCAGAGCATATTTTAAGTAATTTTCACTTTCACTGGGTTCACTTCAATAAAATTGTCTACCAGAGGAACATAGAAAGAAAATCAACTCTCCTATCTCAACAATTTTGATATAGGTTTATTAACTGTACTCTAYTGAAAAATACATCTACAAGTTGTATATAGGTTTATTTATTGAGAATTTGAGATATTATTATTATATCAAAATAACCGATTTTTCAATAATAAAACTTTGATAAAATAAGTAGAATAGAGTATATACATTTCTATCAGTATCT